GACTCCACACCTCCTCGAAGGGCAGTGCTGCGACGAACTCCATCTCTTGAAGACTCTGAGTTCTCTTCCTCTGCTGCAACTATAAATGCCAGAGTGATCGAGGATGAAGACGATGCCACTTCACCGCCACCTCCTTCAGCACACTTCGACACTGCTCCAAGCTCTTCTGCACCACCGAACACCACCGACGACCCTGCTGTTTCACCTACTCTTCATGGGAACAAGTAGATGCTCTATGTCTTCAAACCTTTTTGGTCCTTACTGACAAAAGGGGGAGAAGCATTATGAGTTTGATAGTCTTCAAGCGGGTCCATATGGGCGGGTGCTTTATATTTTGCTTCGTGTTTACAACTCTCGTTTTGATACATTTGTTTCTTTGAGTTGTAACACTTAAACTCGATGGTCGTCTGCTACCTATTTGCCATTTTGTGATGCGATGATAAATTCCGCATGTGCGACGATAAATTCCGCACTTAGATCATTTTGCAGACGTCCATTTTCCATTATGCATGTCATTATCTTCACATACCTTCATATGCATAGTGGATTGTCATCATAAGTTGAAGAGGATCTCCACAAGCACAACCTGCCATGTGCATTTGCATTCCAAAAGCAAACTACTTATATGCACATCTTCAGGGGGAGCCCTTGCAACTTATAAAGACAATTCCTTATCCTTTACAATTTCACATATTATATTCCCCGTTGAAAACTTCAACTAGTTTGTCATCAATCACCAAAAAGGGGGAGATTGTAAGTGCATCTAGTGCCACCCCTAGTTGGTTTTGGAGTATTGACGACAAACCTAGTTGAGGGACTAATGTGTTTGTGAGAATTGCAGGATAACACAGGTAGAAGTCCCTCATTGATTCGGTTTTCCTACCAGAGATGACCCCTAAAAATGTATGAAGACATTGAAGTCAAAGGTGGTATATGAAGATATTCACATCGAAGACTATGACAAGAGAAGACATCACATGAAGCCTATGGAGCTCGAAGACTTAGATCTTTCATAGTTTTTCTTCTTCTTCTTTGTTGAGTCATAGGAACCACCGTACTGTTAAGTGGGGTCCAAAAGAACCAGTCAGAATGACTGAAGTGATGCTTAAACAAAACCTATGTCTTCGAGTGAAGACTATGAGAGCGAATCTTGTCCAGAGTCGGACAAGTCAGCTTTGCTTGTAGCCCAAGTAAAGTTGCCGTGTGAGTTTGAAATTTGACCGTTGGAACACGTGTCAGTTCCTTAGTGACCCAGGGTCATTTTGGACAAATCAGGTCGGGTTGCCTAGTGGCTATAAATAGCCCACCCCCTACAACCAAAAACGGTTGGCTGCTCAGAGTTAGTATACAGCTTTTGTCGTTTGAGAGCAACCCACCTCGAAGCCTTTGAGAGAGAATTCCTTGCGAGGATAAAGCCCTAACCACCCAGAGCCAAAGAGAATTAGGCATCACTTAAGTCTTCTTGTATGTGTGATCTGAAGACTTATTACACTTGAGGACTGTGAATCCTCTAGCCGGTTAGGCATCGCGTTCTAAGCATCCAAGAGACATTGTGGATTGCCGATGAACGAAGTCTGTGAAGGTTTGGGAGTCTACCTTGAAGGCTTACCAGAGTGATTGGGCGAGGTCTGTGTGACCTTAGCTCAAGGGAAATACGGTGAGGACTGGGTGTCCTGAGCTGCGTGTTCAGGACTGGGTGTCCGGGACTGTGTGTCCTCAGGTTTAAATACCTAGCCGCCCTAACCAGACGTACAGTTGTCACAGCAACTGGAACTGGTCCAACACATCATTGTCTTCAACGAGTCACTGGTTTCATCCTTCCCTTCTCTTTACGTACTGTTACTCCTTATGAAGTCATTGTATGATTGCACTATCTTTTATCTTCACTGAGTGACTGCGTGTTCTATTTGGCTTCATAATATCTTCCTACCCGATCCTTACTACATTGCTGCTATTAGTCATTGTGCTTTCACTCTATTGAATACTTGACTATGGCTTGCCTAGTGTAGTCTACCTTCCGCTGCAGGGTAATAGGTTTATTTCTGTCGTTTGTCTTCATAACTTCCACGTTTTGAAGACTTACATAAAAATTGCCTATTCACCCCCCTCTAGTCGATATAACGCACTTTCAGCATCACATCCAAGATTAGTAGACCGACTCTTGCCTGCATCTACTACTATTACTCCACACATCGACCGCTATCCAGCATGCATCTAGTGTATTAAGTTCACGGAGAAATAGAGTAATGCAATAAGGACGATGACATGATGTAGACAAGATCTATCTATGTAGAGATAGAACCCATCGTTTTATCCTTAGTAGTAACGATACATACGTGTCGGTTCCCTTCTATCACTGGGACCAAGCACCGTAAAATCGAACCCACTACAAAGCGCCTCTTCCCATTGCAAGATAAATAGATCAAGTTGGCCAAACAAAACCCAAATGTCGGAGAAGAAATACGAAGCTATAAGCAATCATGCATATAAGAGATCAAAGAAACTCAAATAACTTTCATGGATATAAAAAGATAGATCTGATCATAAACTCAAAGTTCATCAATCCCAACAAACACACCGCAAAAGAGTTACATTATATGGATCTCCAAGAGACCATTGTATTGAGAATCAATAGAGAGAGAGAGAGAGGAAGCCATCTAGCTACTAACTACGGACCCGAAGGTCAACAAAGAACTACTCACGCATCATCGGAGAGGCACCAATGGAGGTGGTGAACCCCATCCGAGATGGTGTCTAGATTAGATCTCGTGGTTCTGGACTCTGTGGCGTCTGGATCAATATTTCGTCGACTCCCCTAGGGTTTTGGGAATATTGGGGTATTTATAGAGCAAAGAGGCGGTCCGGGGGCTACCCGAGGTGGGCACAGCCCACCAGGGCACGCCTGGGCCTCCTGGCGCGCCCTGGTGGGTTGTGCTCTCCTCGGAGCACCCCCCAAGCGCAACGAGGGCCCATTATGTTTCTTCTGGTCCAAAAACAATCTCCGTAAAATTTCGTTACGTTTGGACTTCGTTTGATATTGATTTTCTGCGATGTAAAAAACATGCAGAAAACAACAACTGGCACTTGGCACTATGTCAATAGGTTAGTACCCAAAAAATGTTATAAAATAATTATAAAAATCCAAGATTGATAATATAACAATATGGAACAATCAAAAATTATAGTTACATTAGAGACGTATCAACATCCCCAAACTTAACTCCTACTCGTCCTCGAGCAGGGAAGTGATAAAAACAGAATTTTTGATGTGGAATGCTGCCTAACATATCATATCATATTCTTCCTTTATAGCATGGACATTTGGACTTTTATGTGATTCAAAGCAATAGTGACCAGCAAGGAATAATGCGCTATGTTCTGTTGAGTGTGTTGGATGCCTACCACGACCCTGTTTTGCTATGGTACGATATCAACTTCTAAGACTTCTGTTGGGTAGTGCTCTTCGATTATTGGTTCTCGAGCTTTGGATGATAACCCGAGGCCGACATTTATTGATTGGATCTGGCAATGACGGTAGATGTGCATTGTCTCCTTGTTGAAAACCTGGAGTTCTTCGAATTTTCTTTTTAGATGCAAATCCTTGATTTGGCCTTCGGTGGTCGGATATGGCAACTTGGCAACTTGGGACGCAAATCCTTCAATGGTATGCGTGTCATACCCTTGTTGAGACGTTACTTGGGAGGAGCTATCTTAATATCGGGGAGGTGTTTAGAAAACAGGATGTTAAAGTTGAAGATTGCGAAACATGCAAATGCTTTCTATTTTCGGTTTCGGACAGGTGCATGACGAATAGGTAATGTTCGTCACCTCACGATCGACCATCATGTCTTGTCTGTTTCTACCATCTCATCCTCAGTGTTTCCATGAAAATTATGCTACTGCAAAAAGAAGATGTTTTATGGCACGCGCTACGCGTCGGCTGACTAACGCGGGGATCAAATCAGCCATCTCCAGAGACGTTGGATCCCGCGCGAGAGAGTTGTCTGTGCCGGTCATTCAACTATGACCCACCATTTGCAGCATGACGCATGTTGCGCTCAGGGGTTTGCAACATGACCCATGTAGCACTCGGCGTTTGCAGCTGACCGTTTTTGCTTGCGCTGGTGTTGCAAACACTTCTCGACCGTCCCTCGACCTCGTAGGTCTGTAACACAATCCATCTCAAGCTAGACTGTGTTGCAACACAACCCACGTTACAAAAGCGCACGTGAGTGGTAGGAGGTTGTTGCACGGCGCGCGATCAGTTGCTGTTCGGACGGTCGAGGCACACCCAGTTCCCCATGTTTATTCGTCACGTTCATGCTTTAGTAGTAATAACACGCCGTTTATAAAAAATCCCGAAGAGCAAGACAAATTCCGAACGACGCACATGTTCTGTCTCTCCGAAACAACCACACATGGCGTGTCCCATTGCTGAGAGCAGCGTCTCACAGACCATATCGCCCCGACGCCACGAAAAAATAATCGAAACGAAGCACAAATATCACAAGCCAAATTTAAGCCCCACCATTTCCTCCCCCCCTCTATTCCAACGGTGCACCAGCCAACTGCCCAGCAGCCGCCCCCCACCCCTCGTGGCCCCACAAGCATCCGTTACCCACTGAACCAAGGGCCCCACACACCATCCGGTCCCACAGTGCCGCCCATGACGGGGCATCACAGCGGTACGCGTAGCAGCCCGCGCAAGCTGGCACCAGCAGCCGACCACCCGTCCACGCGCCACCCGGCTTCCTCCTACCCCGATGACACTGTGGGCGCACGACACTCCCGGACCCACGTCTCAGCGGCACGGCGGACCGCGCTGCGACGTAGCGTCCGCGGGCGTGCCGGGCTGCGGAGTCTCCCCAGTATTTCCCCCCGGCCTCGGGGGTATAAAGTGGTTCCTCTCTCTCCTCGGCGAGACTGCCTCGCTGTATCGCTCACCACTCGCAAACCCATCTAAATCTCACCCCCCAGCCACCCACCCCCGCACCACCGCGATGGCTCCGGCGATGGGGCTCAAGCGGCCGGCGGCGGCGGCGGCGACGGCCACGCAGACCATCACGCTGCCCCCGCAGGGGGTCGCCGTGAGGGACGCGGTGCGCGGCGCCCTCAGGGACGCCGAGCTGCCCCCGAGGGCGCCGGCGACGCCGGCGCCGGCCCCCGCGGCCGCCGTGGACGGGGTCCTGTGCTTCGAGGAGGTGGAAGGCAGGCGGTGGAGCTACGTCGTCGAGGGCGCCGCGTCCTCCGCCGGGAAGACGGGGAGGGTCAGCGCCAGGGCCAGGGGCGGCTCCGCTGCGCCGGTGGGGGCCACCTTCAGGGCCGTGCCGCTCCAGTCCCCGCTGCCGCCCGCCGAGGTAATTTCCACCACCGGCGCTATTTGATTGGCGATTGCTGTGCCCACGCGTGTGGCTGTCGCCGCATGCCTAGATCCTAATTTAGCGGGATTGCTGGATTTGGTGCGATGCGAGTTCTGTTTAGGATGTGTCAAGGCGTGATTGTTTTTTTAGGGTAAGGCGTTGTTAATTGTACCTGTACGTGGGTTGTTGTGGGGATATTTTTCGATTTTGCGCGTGCGGATCCAGAATTGTAGGCTGTATGTGTTTGCTCGAGGAATAACGGAGTAGTAGTCTCTTCGTTGGTTGTTTTTTGTCTCTCGCTGGCTGCTGATTCAATTAGTTGAATTAGAAATGTTAGACTGGTTCACTACTTGTTCATTTGTGATTCGCCCTAATTGACCTGCAATTATAATTTTAAGTTTCATCATTTAGTGATCACTTCTATCTCCATTTGGTTAACTTATGCTTTCATGGAAATGCTAGTGTTGTTGTTTTGTGTCACTGCACATTTGATTTGAGGTTATCTAGTCTAGGGCCTTTGCTCAGGAGCAAAGTTGCAATATACAGACAAAATGAGGAAACTAGAGTTGCTTCCTAGTTGGTGCGGAGACACCTTGAGATTTTTTAATTACTGTTGCTAGGCACATCATGGTTTTTTAAGGTCTTGTTCATTGATCATGGGGGCTTGATGAACTACAATGATGATGCTATGTAACTGTGCAATTGCAGGAAATTATGTCCTTCATAAGGTCATATGTTGTGCCTGAAGGTTTTCCAGACAGCGTGACTCCTTCATATGTTCCATACATGACATGGAGGGCACTGAAGGTATATTGATCAGATTTATGCTCAGTTCCATCATTTACTAGATTTGAATATCTTGTTTAATCCTGCTTTTGACTTTTCAGCATTTCTTTGGCGGCGCAATGAGTGTATTTACAACAAGAGCCTTGTTAAACTCCGTAGGAGTCTCACAAAGCAGGGCTACGTCTGGTGCTGTGGCTATTAACTGGATACTCAAGGTGAAGTGTTTCTTCCAATCATTGGTGTGGTTGTTATTTATTTGGTTATTGTCTAACAGTTATATTGCTTTCCGTTACTACAGGATGGTGCTGGGCGTGTCGGAAAAATGCTTTTTGCGCGTCAAGGGAAGAAATTCGATTATGACCTAAAGCAGGTGTAATATTTGAAACCAGTGGTTTGCAGCGCTCTTGAATTTATTTATTTCGGTTTCAGTAGACTCACTCAAATCAAAATCCACTACAGCTCCGCTTTTCTGGGGATCTCATGATGGAACTAGGAGCTGGGATAGAGTTAGCTACTGCTGCGTTCCCTCAACTTTTCCTACCGTTGGCTTGCATGGCAAACGTTGTCAAGGTTTGACCTCGTGCCTTACTGTGACATGTTATGGCATCAATACGACATATTATTTCATTACTTGCAAAAGGGCTTACAATTTTTTCCCCTATTCAGAATGTTGCTGCTGTTACATCGACCTCAACCCGCACACCGATTTACAAGGCATATGCAAAAGGAGAAAATATTGGAGATGTTACTGCTAAAGGAGAAAGTGTTGGGAACATCGCTGATCTGGTAACCATTTATATTTTACATTTAGTGCTCCTGTTTTTTATTGTGGGCTTCTGCATTATTATGAATATTACTGATCTAATATGTAAATGTGCATATATCACCTATCTAACATTTATTTATTACCTCTTTTATGAAGTTGGGCACTGGTATGAGCATTCTAATGTCCAAGAGGAATCCATCATTGGTGGCTTCATTTGCAGTCTTGTCTTGTGGATATCTGCTTAGTTCATATCAGGAGGTTTGCTTCTGATTTTTGTTTGCTGCTATTATAATCAATTATCTATGATAAACTAATCCCCTAACCAGACAAATATTATTTATATTACCAGGTGAGATCTGTTGTGCTGAACACGCTAAATACGGCAAGATTCACTGTGGCAGTGGATTCCTTCATAAAGACTGGTACGTGAGCATTTGTTTGTTAGAAACCTTTCCTCCTGGTCATATCTTCTCATGGTTTGTCGAAGAAAGGACATATGGCAGTTTCCCTCAAATATAGTGCACGCATCACGTAAAATCATTGTTTCATAATAGCATGTTTGGGTTATTAGGTATCAGCATGTTTTGGATACAGTGTATACATTTGAGAAATGCCAAATATATTTGAAGACATTTCATTAATACACAAACTGCTTGAGTTCTACCGGGTAGAAACTTTAATGTAAAACTTCTTGAATAATATAGTATGAAGTTAGTTTTAAGATCCATGTATGTTAGGGAGTATCCAGTCTTATATTTGTGTCTCTGATTTTCTCGATGCAGGGCATGTTCCTTCATTGAAGGAAGGGAACTTAGAGGAGACAATATTTAATCCGCCTTGGAGGCATCAACCTGTGGCCATAGGTTTGCAACTATGATCATATTTATTTGTTGATGAATTTTGACTGTAGAACCTTTTGATGACCAGTTTTAATTTCATAGGATCAAGATTTGGAGAGGCATTTCAGGAACCTGCTTCATTTGTTGCTACAAGGCCTTTGTTTGAGGTACTATCTTGTTCACTCCGTTGAGTCTTGTCCTCCATGGTATCACCGTCCCTTATTTTAGTCCTATCAAAGATTAGTATGGAAAGTTCTGATGTGCATATGATTACAGGATGAGAGGTACATTGTTACGTATAACCCTGCAAAGGACAAGGTTTATGCTTTGCTCAAGGACCAAGCAAAGCAAGATGACATTCTCAAAGCTGCCTTCCATGTAAGCGTTGATTGTTAATTACTTTCATAATATATTGCACTGGTTTGGGTTGGTTGCAACTATTTAGTATTTACCCTCCTTTGTCCGTGTTCTGTTTTACAGGCACATGTGTTGCTGCATTTTATTAATGCGTCACATGCTAATCTGAAAGCACGGAAGCGCATGAACTCTGATCAGGGGTCATACCACTATGTGAACCCAAACCCATTGAACATGGACTTTCTAGCACACATTGAAGAATCTTGCAAGATTGTTACATCGTCGTATGGAGTATTCAAGAGGAAAGCAAGAGAACAGGTGACTTAACTGCCTTGAATCATCAACATAATTCCTCTCACTCTGGTTATTCTACTAATGTGCAAATGGCCTGACCAAATCCACCACATTGCTGCACTGACATGCAAACTAACAACTCTCATTTCTTCTCACAGGGATGGATAATGTCTGACTCGCTACTGAACCCTGGCCGTGCCCGGCTGTGTGGAGTAGCACCAGTGATATAAGCATTATCATTTGTCCAACAGGATAAGATATTTCTTTCATACATTGGGTCCGAGCCTATGTGAGCCAGCGCGTTATTAGCACAGACCAACTTCATTCAGTTCAAGTACTCGGCATGCACCAAACTCTGGTGAGACTAGTAGGGATAGTAGGCTGCAGCTTGGTACCATCTCAACTCTATAGAGCGGTTTGCTGGCTGGCTCATGGCGAAGGGTCCTGCAACTAACTGAAAAGAACTGACTAACAGGCTCTTGTATATGCGTCTGGTAATGTATAATGGAAACTGACATCCGACCTATTTGTAGCCGGTCTAGGTCTCTGTCGGCTGAGTTCTTGTATCGAGTCTGACTGCAACTTTTTTTCCCCCGGTAACTTTGCGGTGCTGTGGTTTCTCTTTGTTTCCGTGACTCCGGTTGTTGTAAATGCCAGTTTCACCTAAAGAAGAGCTCTGTTTGATTTCAACATCTCTGTTGTGCTTGGATCTTGAGTCTTATATGCTGTTTAAGGGTGTGTGTTTTCATCGCTTGTGATTGGACCTCGAACAGCAGGTGTTTCTGTTTCTATTAGAACAGAATCTAAAATTTGCTAACCTGGTCTGTAGAAATTATGTGTCCGAAAGACTAATTTTAAACCATTTTACGTGCGCACACTACTGACTGCACGCAGAACACAACAGAGCACACCCTCTAATCATGCACTAGAACTATCAAAGACCGAAAATACTCGTCTTCTTTATTCAATTGACAAGCACCTTCGGCCATATACACCTTGTTTTTGACAAATCATCTTCTTTATTCAATCACAATTGCATCATTTACAAGAAAAGGTATTATCTCATCCGGAGGCGAATCCATCTAGATACTAGGAGAGAACTTGGCCAATTCATGAATCAAACAAAACGTGATTGTCGGAGAAGCCTTCCTTCAGAGCATTAACAACTCATTATCGGAGACAACCTCAATTTTGCTACATCCCACTGTTTGTGCTAAGTTTAACCCAAATGTTACAGCATTTGCTTCAGCAGAAAATGAGTCATAGCAAAAGTTCAGTCTTTCATTTGCTGCAACTATGATTTTGCCATTATCATCTTGGAGAATTGTACCAAACGTACCATTCAGATTGTCATGACTAAACCCAACGTCTACATTAAGTTTCATGTATCCCGACCGGGGCTTAGACCAAGCAATCGCTCTCCTCTTAGCTTTGGGCTTACACGCGATGACAAAGTTCCCTGCTAGTCCCCATACTGCCATTTAAACTTGGCTGCAGTTTGTGTTTTCTCATCATGTGTTAGTTTCCTCCGTTCGAACCCAAATACCAGGCAATAGTATTTTTTAGGGGTAAACCAAGTTTTATTAATCAAAAACCACAGACAATGAAATACATCTCGGATCGTGAGGTTGGCCTAGCCACACATCACACATGGCGCCCTTGACGTAAAGAATGCGAAAACTTGGCTAGACTATGAGCTTCTCCATTAGACTCTCGAGGTTTGAACGAAAAAACACAATTAAACATAGTAGCTCTCTGATGAATCTCACATATGATAGTACCATATTTCCCTTGATAGCCATTGTGGATGTCTCCGACGACTTGCTTGGAGTCTGAAGCCACCACAAAATTATGTAACAAAAGGTCTTCTGTCAACGACAGTGCTTCTCTGCACATGATTGCCTCAAGTGTTGCTGGATCGTGTATACCGTGGATAACCAGAGCTGAGCTCCCCAAAAAAATCCCTTGATCATCTCGACAGACCGCCATTGCAGTCCACCTCTGGATGGCATCGATACACCAGCATCCACATGAATTTTAGCAGAGCCCGCTGGTGGTGCTTTCTACCTCCGATCACCCCTCAGATTAGGCAGTAGTTGCTATCGTCTCCCTCAGATTAGGCAGCCCAAGTACATGGATGTCCGAGCCCCGAGCCCCAAAGACACAAAAGGCGCTCAAGCACTTTCGGCCATATGTACCTGGTATGAAAAAGTAACAGTTTGTTTAATTCACATTTAGATGTTTTTTAAGGATGTCACATCTAAGCTCTTACAAATAACGCAACAGCAAGAAAAAAAAGGTGAGACAAAAAAATAGACCACAAACATAGTGAACTGTCACGTCCAGATGTGTCCTAGACAGACCCAAAAAGTAACTTAGTAATCGCAAAAGAAGTCGTTTAGCGAGCCAACATGTGTAACTGTGAGCCCCAGGGTTTACACTAGGTGCTTCCCGTGATTTAACTTGTTGGGTCTACTGTCAGATGCAGTAGGCTCCTGCTTTTTCCACAGACGTGTTGGCCTGTTAGTCACTTTCTCTTCAGAAAACACACGCCATGACGTGCACGTTTATAGTATTAAAATGCAAGGAGAATGTACAATGGCCGAATGGCGAGTAGAAACCGGAGAATGGACTATGAAGAGAGGATACAGCTGCCTCCTGTGTTGGTCGGTTGTTTTACACATCGAGAGAAACAACAAACGTGTTGGTCAAATATATAACTGGCGTTCTCCTTTTCTTTAAACAACAAGCAACAAAACTAGCTTTCTCCCACACGTTGAAAAAAAAACCCCACCACATCGGGCGACTAGCAGTTCCGCACAAGCATGAAGGCCCATTACGGCCTTCCATTATTTTGGGCCAGACCAAGAGACCACGCCTACTCGAGGCCCACCGCACGTCCCGATGGCGCTCCCGGCTGGACAGACAACGCGGGGGGCAGAAGGCGCGTTCGTTTAGTCCCACATCGCCCAGCTGAGGAGAGAAACACCAGTTTATAAGCCGCGCGCTGCACACAGACTTGTCCCTTCGTGGACATCCGATAAAATTGGAACGATACAGAGAAGATTAGCATGGCCCCTGCGCAAGGATGACACGCACAAATCGAGAAATGGTCCAAATTTTTTTGGGATTTCTCGCGCCGGTCCCTGCGCCCTTCTTTTGAGCCCCTCGTGTGTGTTGCTCTTTTACAAACAGGTCCTCGGAGTTTTCGTCTCTGTTCGATGAGATCCTCAATGGTCCATCTCGAACTTGGGTGTCTTCTGTTCTTCGCTATTGCAGATAAGCCCTCGAAGAATTAACGTTTTGGACCTAGCGCTTTATTTGATTTTGGTTTATCCTGCCACCTGCCACTAGAAAGACATCACATGACGAACACATCCAAGATCTGTGAGAGAAGCGTACTCGGAGCATCAAAGTTTATGAATGCCATCAGCCATCATCGCGTGATCGATCTAACCACCCGCAGCTGGACTAATCCAGCAGAGTCACTTCTCCAAACCTCTCCATCTTGTACACAGTAACTGATGGTCCACCAACTAAGCAGGGGCTGCAGGGCACACTGGTGGCAGCTCTCAAAACTGAAGTTAAAAATACCTCACTAAAATGAACACAAGGCAAAACAAATTTAGCCTGGATTATTCTCCTGAAACTATGATTTAAGGAGACTACAAAATTCGTACCGCAAGGATACTGAGAACATATAAAGTAACTAAGAAAATCAAGGCAACCTAATACCTTGTGGGAAACACATTAACTACTGAAAGAAGGCCTAAACATACACTTAGCCTACTATTACGTCAAAATGTACGCTTGGAGCTATGCACAGAAGCTCCTTAAGGGCCGGCATCAGTTATATATACAATAACAAAAGCAAGGGAAACAAGACCAGCAAGATGGATATATATATATATATATCTTTACCTCT